CTAAGCCCGGGGCAATGATTTGCCTGCCAGCGTCCTGAGCGCCAGCCAATATTTGGATAGTGCAGTAGTTGTTTAAAAACAAAGAAAAAAATTACTCGCGGAAACTTGAAACCGACTGGTTGGTGCCAGGGTGGTTACACGATCTGTTTTTCCTGAGCGGGGGTCTGCAGGCAGCTGGAGCGCGCGCGTTCCTGCCCCCGCCGGTGCCACTGCGCGCCTGCAAAACTTGTCGGAATTAACCTCCCGGGAAGTAGGGGAAGAGGAGAGCGCGCTCCCCCACCGCGGCCCCAGCTCTGCAGCCCTGCCCCGCGCCGCGCTTGGAATCCCCCAGGATCCTCCGCGGCGGCCGCGGCCCGCCACTCGCCAAAATAGACACGCGACCCGAGCTCCCTGTCTGCGCTCTAGGCCGCATTGTGGCCTGGGCCGCCGCGTACGACTGTGGCCTCGGTGGTGGGGAGCACTTTCTACCCTTACCAAGCACAACCTGAATGTGGAAGCGTGAGGCTTGGGGCGCTTCGCTCAGCCTCCGCGACTGTTTTGTCCCAGGTTGCGTGGAAGCCGACCAGCTGAACTCTGCTTGCCGAGGCCGAAGACACTGGCCAAGCCCCTGGCGTCCCTTGGCGCTGAACCCGAGGTTGTGGCGGCGGGTCTGCAGCCTGTAGCAAGCTCACCTCGTGAGCACCTGGCTCATTTTTTTGTGTTCAGGGTTCGTGTTATGCGCCCAAGATTTGTCCTGGGAGTCTTTAAAGGGCCCCTCCCCTCGATTTGTTCCCAGGCGCCGCAAGTGACCAACGGGCACGGTCCCAGAGCTGCTCCCCAAAAGAAGACTCTGCTGTTCCAGCAACCCGCGGAAGAGATGCTATCCGAGGTACCAACAAAAGATCCCTTTGCTCGAGCTGCGTGTGGGGTCGAAGTCTGGAGAGCCCTTACGCGCGCGACACGCAGAGCTCCTCAGCAGAGGCCTGACAGCGGTGCAGGAGACCCCAGCTTCCTGGGCTGGGACAGGGCTGTTGTCGCCCCGTCTTGTTCCAAGGAAAAGGAGCCACCTGACTCCAGCGGGCTCTTGTCAAACTGTGAGCGTCCGTGGAGTTCTGTGGCTTCCTGAGGCCAAGAGGCTGTCCGCTGCTCGGCTCTCTAAAGTGTCTCAGCGGACAAAAATCCCGCAGAAACTCCTATGGCAGGAGGAAAGCTTCTGGCATACAGTGAAAGAGAAAACATCCTCCTCTGAAAAGGGCTTAGGACCAAGAAGTTGCTCTTTCCCCCAGGCCTTCTTGCAAGCTTCAATTGTAACATCTATTCTCAGACGTCTCCTGGCCTAGGACAAACTGGCCACATAGAGCTAGCCAGAGATTTAGCTCCTGGCTAAAGATGGAAATTATGAGCCTGACCCGCTCACGGCACTCCTGCGACCTGGCTAAGCCACCCCGCGGACAGACGTGGTCCCACCGTGCAGCTCACCAAAAGCCGGAAGCTGAAAACACCCGATCTGGTGTCACCAAGGTTGCCAGTGAGGGGGCAGCCCCCCAAGCCGCTGGGCCGATGACTTTCTTCGAGTTTAGGCGTGGGAAAATCGAGTAAGCCATAGTGTCCAAATGCCCTTTTCTCCTCAAATCGCCTAACGGGAAAGGATCCATGAAATTTCCAACTTCAGCCACCCTGTTTTACAAATAATGAAACAGGCCCAGAAACGGAGAGTATACTTGTTTCTAAACTCTGCTTTTCCTCCCAGCCAAAGGGCAAAGGTAGCCAAAACGAGTATACAACTTCAGGTTCTCCCTGCAGTAAACTGGGGTTTCCTGCTGGGTGTTTGGATGAGTGCAGAGCAGGAACCTCCAAGCAGAAGGACCTTAGGCCTGGGTTCATCCACCTCTCCCTCGCAGGTCACACCAGGATTTTGTGGACTGATAATTTTTGCTCCCTATTTAATTATCTCCATTCCACCTCCTGCCTAGCCCCGGCCCCACACCCCTATGCTAAGAATAGCAAAGACTTCCTTCTAGCACACACAGGTGATGGGACCTCTGAACCCCCAAATCTTACTTCTGGCCCCAGCTCAGACATTGCCGTCTCAGAGAAACCTCAACTTGTCCAACTCACTCTCTCCAGGAAAGTGTGGAGCCTCCATCTGCCAAGCCCTTATTGTATATTCTATTCGTGATTTCCTAGTTACTGTCCTTCTCGCCTTCCATACGGCGATAGTGGAGCTGGGATACTGTCTCCTGTCTCTCTGCACCTGGAGCCTCACATGCAATTGGCGCGCAGTAAAATTGAGATGAATTTGGCATTTGGCGAAAACACCCCATGCTTTCCTCCCCATGAGTTTTTCCCTCCAGCCCTCTGGTCACTGGGGGCTCAAGAAGAGGCCTTGAGGACACGATACTCTGAACTTGACCCGGAGTGGCTAGCCTAGGAAAAAGGGTTTTTAAGGATAGAGAAGCTCAGAGCGAGTAGATGAAAACAGGGAAGGGTAAAAGGAAGGGGTCGGAAGAGGGAGATGCCA